AAGTAGACCAGGAGTTCCATGCCGATAAGTAACATCGTCTGGTTCCTGGTGCCCATGAGTCCCATAGGAGATCTCGAGATGTTTGCGATAGCTCTTCGGTTTGCCAGGCTCCCCTGAAAGCGTCCAAGCCACCAGCGTGAGACGGTCTTCCAGGATGAGCGGGTGTTGATTCCCTCTCGGGTCCGTAAGGAGCATCGGATAGGACGGTATGAGGAGGGGATCTCTGTAGGATGACGCTAGGAGATCCGGAAACCATGGTTGACCCTGCCACAGGGGTGAGATGAGGAGCAGGGATCCGCGTTGGGTCTTCAGGTATTGCATCGTCCTGGCTACCATGGCGAATGGGGGAAAGGCGTACGCCCCCAAGGGTGGCCAAGGCTGGAGAAACGCATCTACTGCCTTGCTCTCTGGGTCTGGGAGCCAGCTGAAGTACTCGTCTGTCTGCCTGTTGTTGCGTGACGCAAAGAGGTCCAGGTGGAGGGGACCCCTCCTGACCGAGAGGCGCTGGAAGATTGCTGGGTCCAGTCTCCAGTCGCTGCTGTCTCGCCAGTGGCGTGAAAACCAGTCCGCTGTCAGGTTCGTTTCTCCCGGGAGGTATTCTGCCATGAGGGAGATTTTCCGGGGTAGACAAAAGTCGAAAATTTCCTTCGTGATCTCTGAGAGGAGCCTGGATCGGGCTCCTCCCAGGCGATTGATGTAGCGGACCGCTGAGATGTTGTCCATCCGGAGGAGGATGCAGCAGTCTGTCCGGTCTCTCGCTAAGCTGCGGATCGCAAACGACCCCGCTAGGAGTTCTAGGCAGTTTATGTGAAGGTTGGTTTCTTGGGAAGTCCAAGTGCCTCCTGTTGATCTGCCCTCGCTTGTGGCGCCCCAGCCCCACAGGCTGGCGTCTGATTCCAGAACTATGTCGGGTGCATTCCCGAAGATGGCTCGGCCGTTCCAAGCTTCCATGCTGTCCAACCACCATCCAAGTTCTTCCCTGACTTCTTCCGTTACCGGAATGGTTTGGTCGTAGGAAGGGTTCTGACGGAGGAAGGAGGCCTTCAGCCGTTGCATCGCCCTGTAGTGTAGTGGGCCCGGGAAGATTGCCTGTATAGATGCGGACAGTAGTCCCACGATTCGAGCCAGGCTGCGGAGTGGAATGGTGTTGCAGCGGATGACTCTGCGTAATTCCTTTTTTATGGCTGTGATCTTTGAGATTGGGAGCCGTAAGTTGCTGGTCTTGGAATCTATCTCGAAGCCCAGGAAGTGTATCGTCTGGGCTGGGAGCAGCTCTGATTTCTGGTAGTTCACCACGAAGCCTAGGGACGTCAGGAGTTGAATGGTATATCGTGTGTGTTGTGTTAGACTGTACCTGTCTGAGGAAAATAGTAGCAGGTCGTCCAGGTAGATAATGCAACGAATTCCTTGAGTTCGTAGTTGTGATACTACCGGCTTGAGGAGCTTGGTGAAGCACCACGGCGCTGAGCTGAGGCCGAAGGGGAGGCATGTGAACTGCCAGGGTTGATCTTGCCATAGGAATCTGAGAAATTGGCGGCAAGACCCATGGACGGGGACCGACAGGTAAGCATCTTTGAGGTCCAGTCTCGTAAACCAGTCCCTGTCTTGGAGTAGATCTCTCAGCAGGTGAATGCCTTCCATCTTGAAGTGCCTGTATGTTACAAAAGCGTTGAGTCCCCTCAAGTTTATAACCGGACGGAATTCTCCTGATTTCTTTTTTACTAGGAAAATGTTGCTGAAGAAGCCCTTTCCGTCGTGAGCCGGTTCTATCGCTCCTTTCGATTTGAGCTCCCGTAGTTCGCCGTCGATTAGGCGGCGGTCCTCCTCGGAGCATTGAATGGGATGCGGGGGAGCGAGCTGGTAAGGGGCTTCTACGAAGTCGATGACGTAGCCCCGAACTGTCTGGAGGATCCATGCGTCCGTGGAGATGGTCGTCCAGTTCTGAAAAGACAGAGCAATACGGCCTGCAGTGTAAGGGGTAGGTGAAACTAGAGACACTAGACTGCTTACCTGTGGGGAAGCGTGCTCTGCCACGGTTACGAGGTCCTCTGCCTCGGTCTGCTCCTCGGGTGTAGGAGAAGGGTTGCCTGAAGCCCACTTCCGGGTAGAAAGGCTGTGGTCTGTGTGACCGGGGGCCAGAAGGCCAGAATCGGCTGGCTGCTCGGCCCCTGTAGCGGCCAGCCCGTCCAAAAACACCCCGACTGGGGTAGCCTCGGAAGACTCGTTTCATAGACGTCTGAGCCTTATTGAGGGACGTAAAGATGTTAACATGCTTGTTCAGCTCTTTTAAGAAAGGTTCTCCGAACAATTTGCCCTGTGCCAACGGTCCCAACTCTTTGGTGCCCAAATCCACCAGTTTTCCGTCAATACGGAGTAAAGCTGCCTTGCGCCTCTCAGAGGAGAGGGCTATGTTGGTGTTACCAACAAAACAGAAGCACCGTTGTGCCCATTCCCTAATATCATGTGCCCACTCTTTGACCATGCTAGAGTCAAATTGATCGGCCCTAGTGAACGCATCATCCGCCAGGTACAATATGCGGGAGAGTGGGCCAATTGAGTCCAGCAGTTTATCCTGGACCCCGTGGAATCCTTTCTCCACGCCCCGCCGAGGGTCGCGGCCACCTCGGGACATAAAGGTGCTCATCACCTGATCAAACTCCGGGGTCTGTGTT